GCCGCCCGCTCCGCTTTCTGGAGGTGGCGCGCCCGGTCTGTTCAGCCCGTTCACCAATCTACAGCAGCACCAGTACTTTCCCCCATCATCGCCTGGAATCATGTCTCCATCGCCACCCGGGATCATCTCCACCGGAGGATTTCCAGCTCCCGCTTTCCAACCGTACGACGAATTGGCCGCCCTGCGCACCGAAAATACTCTTCTTAAGGGCGAAAATGCGCGGTTGAGAGCTACCCTCCAGGCCGCACTTGCGCGCGAACAGGAAACCCAGGCCATGTTTGCCGCCCAGCGCAACACTAATTCTTACCAGCGACCGCCCACGAACACTAACACCGACACGAACATCAAAAGCAACGATCACGGACCCATCGGGAGCAACGGGTTGCAACGCAACTCTTCTTCCTCCTCGATCAAGCATCGACAGGCGCCCGCCAACGACAACGTAAGACGCATCGGGAATCGCCACATTAAGTGCCTCAACTGCTCAGGCCCCCACGCCAGTGCAGAGTGCAACCAACCTTGCCGCAACTGCCTTCAACAGGACCATGGGTTCGGTCAGTGCCCCAATTAGGATAGATGCACCCCTTTACTTCCCCCTTATACCTTGCTTCTTTCCGTGTGTGAACCTATATGGGAGATGGTGGAGCTCTGATGTTGTGCAGCGTGTAATTGTTCTGTTATTGGTGACGTAATGTGGATGGCGTGTGAACGAATGTAGCGAAGAATATGATCTATTTGAGCATAAGGGTAACAAGGATATAACGATACGCAACTCCCTCATCATCATTCACAAAGAAGGCCCCGCATTCGCGGCGGCATCCCGAACCTTCTCCTTCAACGCATCAATCTTATCCAACTGTCCCTGTATGTATTTCACCGCTTCCTTCCGTTTCGCGCGGGCGCGGTCCATGTGGGGTTCGCACATCACCCCATCAAGTTTGAGGAGGCGTTGGAGGAGCACTTCGGCGGCTTTAGCATGCAAATCGCGGAGTTGTTTGGAAGGTGTCGATTCGGATGTGGCCGTGTCGATGTAACTGGCAGCTTGGGCGCAGTAGTCGTGTACAAGCGGGAGCGCGGTTTCGGCCACATGGGAGAGGTGCGAGTCGATAGTGGCGATGAGGACTTCTTCGGGATCGCCGTCTTCTTGTGGGGGGTGGGCTGACGGTGGAGGGGAGGGAGTGGGGTGGTGGTGGTTGTGGTGCGTGTGGGACGAGTGGGAGTGGGGTTGGGGCTGGGAGAAGGGACGGGAGGATTTGGCGTTGGTTTGCTCGGGGCGGGACCGTTTTGTGGGTTGGGGTTGGGGTGGTTGGACTGGGGCCTGAACCAAACAAAAAAGGGGAGAAGTGGTGATGAGGAAATCACATAGAAAGCGAACAATTAAAATGATGGTTTTGCGGCACCACGTACGGATGCATTATCCCCAATCATCATAATCTTGGAGCCCGTGCGGATTCCGTAACTCGAGAGCGGGGCCGTCAGATCCTTCATGAGCGCTAACAAAAATGCAAATAAAACATAGACATCACGGTTAGAAAGAGCCCAAAGCGCAAGGGGGACCACCTTTGCTATCATGTTGGGTACCAAACGACCCGGAAATACGCTCGGACGATCCACCCCCGTTCAACCATGTACCCCATGACCGCAACGCCGAGTCCCACCACGTCTCAGATAGGCCTTCCAATTCCTCGACGAAAGGGACGCCTGGTGGATAGAGGGGGTGCGGGGGTGATATCAGACAACAAAAACCACATGCCTGATTCGCCAGCCTACGTCATTTCCGCTTCCCGCATCATTTCCATCAATCTTCAAACGCAAACTCCAAGCTAATGCGGGACATGTCATTTACATACCTCCCCCATGCAACAATTTAATATTCTCTTTGGGAACTTTACTCCCCTGGGCGCATTTGTTGAGGAGATCGCCTAGGGTGGCGCGCTTGGCCCAGCCATGGGTAGACTTGTCCCCGGCTTTGGCGGCGCGCTGCACGTCTTCGTTGAAGGGCACGTCGAACCGCTGGCCTTTCCAATTGACGATGACGGACATTCTTGTTGGTGAGGGGTTGTGAGGAGGGATGGATGGTGAGTTGGAAAGGACTCCGACCTGGGAGAGCAAGAGGAGCGTGCTTGTGCTCGTTCCTGTAACTTAGTGGCTTGGTCAACCTGGCTGGCTGCGCGATTGCTTCCCGTTGCATATCGATACATTTACTATTGAAGAAAGATACTCTTCACACTCAGATTGCAGCTAGAATCATTATCACTGACATTCATGTATGGCATCCTGCTCAACGGCTATGTGTAGCAGTGTATACGTTTCTTCAGACCCGCGCATAATAGGGGCACAAAGACATTTTTGTCCAATATCTCCCCTATCGCTCAAGGTGACAAAATGAAAGTGTCATGGTCCGGGGATGAAATCAAGGCTTCTGCATGCAGAAGGACGAGCGGAAACATTTGATGCTGCGGCGGAGGGACGCAGCTGCGCGTTGCATACTGCACTGCGGTTCTTTGATGACGACAACTTGACGCCTCCGCGGCGAGATGAAACCTGGTGAAGGGAACGAACGCACTCTCACTCCATCTACGCAGCCACAGGATGCCGCCAAATACTCACCCAATCCGTGCCCTTCCCAATCTCATGCGTCCGCTCCGGCATATAATGTGCAACGCGAACCAACCCCCGCTCATTCCTTGGAACATCCCCCTTCTCATCCTTCTCTTCCACCACATGTCCATCCTTTCCATATTGCAGCTTTTCGCCCGGTTGGCTGAGATGCTGGTGGTACACCTTGGAAGGAAGGCCCCACGGCGGGCCCCCGCTCGAGGGAGGTTTGTAGGTTGGGAACTCGAGGCAAATCAGCGCGGCGTGGGGGGCGGGTGAGAGGAGTTGTGACATCCGGAGGGACCAGTCAGGGCGAAGGTCTGGTGGTAACGCGGAGAGGAATTATTGAGGAAAGTCAGTAAGATCGTTTTCCATGCAAGTACATGGAGCAGTATGAAGAAAGAGAGAATCCTACAGTGTGGTCATAGATCAAATCGAAATCCTTCCGCGCGTCGATCGCCGCCTCTTGGACCCAATCGCCCTTGAAAAAGTCCCCAAAGAGAAAATTCATGGATCCGCGGCAGACGTTCTTGTCCAACAGCTCATAATCACGAAAACTGGTCTTCTCAAGCTCGCTCACCCACTGGTTGGCCGCATCAACCGCATGCCCGCTCGCCTCCAAACCCCACACATCATATCCCGCTGCAGCCAGTAACGCGACATCATAACCCTTCCCGCATCCCGGTACAAGCGCTCTCCTCCGCTTCTTTGTCTTGTCGTCAACGGGTCCGGGCATCAGAGCGTGGTCGGTGAGCAGGTCGTGGAGAGCTGGGTTGGGGAAGCCTTTGTCCCAGGGTAGAAAGTCGCCATTTTTCCAAAGCTCTTCCCAGCGACTAGGCTGGTCGGTGGGATCGTGACCGCTGAAGTGGTCGATAAGCTTTTGGCGGGCGGCGGTAGGACGGTCCTCTCTTTCCATTACCGTTGCTGTGGGATAGAAATGGGTGCTCTCGTGTCGGTGGAAAAGAGGAAGTCATCAGCTAAATCTAGGCTCCGCGACTGTACGATTTCACAAACGGCCATTGCAAACGTTGCTCATTCAAACGATAGTAGAAGAGGCAAGAAAATGACCCAACAGCCGCCCAAAATATTAGTCTTCTCAGATTTCGATGGGTAAGAGGACCGATGGCCTCTATAGCCAGCCCGCCAGATCCAAGTTCATGGCACTCTCTTCGGGGCAGAGGCAGGGAAAAGGCTATGTGTTACGCCGAACGTTGACTCACAGTCCTGACAGCCTGCCTTCCACAGCACCATATCAACGCAGGACACGGGAACGGTCATCATCGACCATTGCATGGGATACGATGCTCGGCGCGCACTAGGTCAGACATTCCTGGAGGGGAACTTTTAGGAACTCACGGGTTGAGCTGACCGTTGGCGGTACTCTGCAGATCGTCAAATCTTGGATGGTACTGCGTCCTTTCGTGATGCAGTCGAGTTTATGTGGAATAGGTTCGTACCAAAGCGCATCATTGCTTGTCAGGCCCATATTGTCGCTGCTCACAAGTTTACAATCGCCCCCGTTCTTCAGCGTCAACATCACATGGGAAGAAGCTCTCACTCTCGTGAAAGCCATTTCCCTTGACCCGCGGTTTGGCGAGTTCTACCGCTTTTGCGCCGAGAACCACATCCCGCTGACGGTTCTCAGCAGCGGACTGCATCCCCTCGTCGCCATCTTCTTGAAGGACTTCATCACAACCTCCGATGGTGACAGTGGTGTGCTGAGCATTCTTGCAAATGATATCGTCATAACGGAGAAGGAAGGGAAAGCGGTGTGGAAGATTTTGTACAGAGATGAGAGGTATAGTGACTTTCCTATTTCACATCTGCTTTCACAAGCGTCATAACCGATCCCTCCATGTACGGCTTCCTAGCTCGCACGGCCACGACAAATCCCTCTCGATCCAAAACTACCTCGATAGCCTTTCCACGGCATCAACCAGAGATCATCACCCTCTTCCTCCGCAGCAGAACCCCGCCAAGGGACCGCTCATCATCTTCATAGGTGATGGTGTCTCTGACATCTCTGCTGCCCGCCATGCCGACCTGGTGTTTGCTAAGCGCGGCAAAGACCTTGAAAGTTGGTGCAAGCGGGAAAATGTGCCACATATACCGTGGGACGATTTCGGGACTGTCCTTGATGTACTGAAGCAGAAGACGGCGGAGTTGATGTAGAATTCTTTATATACACTATCTGGTGTCTATACATAGGACGATAGGAAAATGGTGTTTACGAAGACAATAGGACCTCAACATACGTTTCCTATCCTACATTGTTGCCTTGAGTATGAATTGCTGCTCTGTACATTGCACGTTTTCGGGTGAGTGATAAAATGTATACACCATGTGGGGCTTGGACTGGTATGGAAGCAACAAAGTAGGTGGTGAGAATCTAAAAAAAGAAACGCTCCTGGGCAGGCTTGAACTGCCAACCTCTCGATTGCTAATCTCTTAACAGTCGAACGCGCTAGCCAATTGCGCCACAGAAGCTGGATGTCTCTCAACCATACTTGCTCAATTGGATAGTATTGATTATCTGATTATCGGGAGCCTTCCTATTCACCCTATTTGGCCATTGAATGGTTGGACTACTACTGTCAGTCATCAATAACGAGTTTGCGCGATTGCGATGCTGACTCTATCTTGTCGCTGAATGTGCCAAAGGCAGAGGAAATGCACGCTGAAAACCTGCATTCTGGATGCAGGCCCGAGTTGTTCTTGACGCCAATTTTTTTCCGTTTTTTTTTGTCTCTCTCTGTCTCTCCCTGTGGCGGAGGCAGTGTGCTTGAGACGAGGAACAGGTGGTTTGTTTAGCTGTTTAGGGCAGGTGGGACACGCCGTGCTCAGGCTCCAGTCACGGGACTCTCTCTCTCGGGACCCCACAAATTGCACACTCTTTTTCTGGCCAATCATTCTGTTTCCTGGACGGACTGCGCCACTACCCCACACTCTTCCAGCCAATCAGCGTCAAGCACACTCCCGTGAAGTGTGATAATATCATTACTCGTCACACGCTCCTCCGATCCCGACAAGACATACCAAACACCCGCCTCCCCCACTTCCACTTCACACCACGCACACCTCTTACCCTCACACTTTTTTTTTCTTCACCTCTTCGCATATATAACACCTACCTGCCATCGTTCCGCCCCACGGCATTCTACATATACCACTGGTTGGATAAAGAAACCAGAAAAAAAAAAGAAATGGCCTCTTCAGCATTCGCTCGCTGCCTACCGCAGCATTGCCGGCGACCATACCGCGTTCACCCTTTCAACTCCATACAACACACACACGCTTTTCCTCGTCCACGCCTCCTCACAACCTCGAAAGCCGTGAACTCGACTGTACCGCCATTACCACCCCCGCATCCCAGTAACAGCAGCAGCACCAATGGTTTGCGACTACCGCTCCTAGCTGCTGCACTGGCTGCGCTTGCAGCAGGCGGTGCACTGTGGATTGCCCCACGCAGCTTGTACACGGAAAGTCTGGCTCTTACGAGACATGGCGAGAAAGGTGGGAAGAAGGATGATATGTTGAGTCTCTTTAGCAAACACTCGAATAAGGGAAGAGAAGAGCATGAGATAAATAGTGGTGAGTGAAAGAGTTCCCGCATCTCCCGCAGAAGGATTGTAAACAGGGATTCTCACTCTTACGAAATTCTTTATCTTCCTGTTACTTCTCTCAGTCCCCGCACAACGCCCCCGCTTCAAACGCTCCGAAATCTCCACCCACACCAGCAAAGCCGCAGGCGGAATCTGGATCATCCACAACAACGGCGTCTACGACATCACCGACTTTGTCGACGTGCATCCGGGCGGGGAGCGCATCCTCCTCGCCGCAGGGCGCTCCATCGACCCCTTCTGGTCCGTCTTCACCATCCACCAAACTCCCGAAACCAAAGAACTGCTCGAACAGTACCGCATCGGCGACGTCGAAGCCCCGCGTGATGCCATTGAGGCGGCGGAGAACGCCGCGGCGGAAGAGAGGGATAGAGATGCGTTGAAGGATCTGTTCAAGTTTGACCCAAAACGTGACCCGGAATTGATTACGCATGCGGCGTACCCGTGTAATGCGGAAGCACCCGCGCGTGCGTTGGTGGATGCCCCCATTACACCGACCGAAAAGTTCTTTGTGCGGAACCACCTCCCTGTTCCCGATATCGATACCACCACGTACCGCCTCGCGGTTCAAGGACCGGGCATTCCCGACGGGGTTGCACTATCTCTCGAGGACCTCAAAAAGCTCCCCAAGAAAACCGTCACGGTCACGCTCCAATGCGCCGGAAACCGACGCAAGGACATGCACGACGTCAAACCCACAAAAGGCCTCCAATGGTCCCAAGGCGCCATCAGCACGGCAACCTGGAGCGGCGTCCTGCTCCGCGACGTCCTCAAACAGGCTGGTTACAACACACCACCATCCACTACCACGACTCTCCCCGACGACGACCAAGCAATCTCCCATGTCCAGTTTCATGGCACCGAAGGCTACGGCGCCTCCATCCCTTTCCATAAAGCCATATCAGCCCAAGGCGATGTCCTGCTCGCCTATGAAATGAACGGCGAACCGCTACCCGCCGACCACGGCGCCCCGATCCGCGTCGTGGTACCCGGTTACGTCGCTGCCCGCTCTGTGAAATGGGTTGACCGCATCACACTCAGTGATGAGGAAAGTTGGAGTCACTGGCAACGCAAAGACTATAAGGGATTCTCGCCATCAACTGAAATGCCCTGTGAAGAAGACTACGAGAATGCGAAATCCATTCAGGAACTACCCGTTCAAAGCGCAGTCCTGCTTCCCGCCAAAGGCCAAAACGTCACTCTCACCGAACAGGGCGAAATGGTGTGTAAAGGCTACGCAGTCAGTGGCGGCGGGCGCGAAGTCGTGCGTGTCGACGTCTCTGCCGACGGTGGGCGGACGTGGACTACAGCAGCCCTGAAACCGGCTGCGACAGACGCGAGACCGGGACGACAGTGGGCGTGGAGTCATTGGGATGCGAAGATTCCGGTGTCAAGTACGATGAAGGGCAAGGAGGTGGAGATTGTGTGTAAGGCAGTGGATGATAGTTATAATTCGCAGCCGGAGAAGATGGAGGGGATTTGGAATATGAGAGGAGTGTTGAGTACGGCGTGGCATCGAGTTACGGTTAAGGTGGCAGGCGCCGAGGGTGAGGGGAAGGAAGTTGAAGGAAGATAGGTTATGGTGTTGATGTTCATATATATTGTATCTGTTTTGCCCTTGCATAGGATTATGAAACACGACATCTGTTTCTGCATTGTAATGCCCTTCTTTATGTCTGTTGTTGCCCCGGAATCATCAGTGCATCACCCTTCCACTGCGGTCCGGGCAAGTGAGAGACAAAAAAGAAGCCGTAGATGAAAGAAATGAAGGCGTTGAAGAAGCAAATGACAGGACGAGGAGCTTCAATGATCATTTCATTGGGGCCCCTCATACCCCTCCCTTCTATTTGAGAACTGGGAAGATTGTATTCCCACATCCACTTGGCCCAACCCTTTGCCGAGAAACCATCAGAGCCCACGGCTTATAGAGCTTGCATTAGGGGATGTCAGACATAAAGCAGGTAAACGTGGAAACAAAACAAGTGAAGCAGATAGGAGATGGCCATGAGGTGATTGATTGACTCCTGTGCCGATGGCACTGATACAGCACTTTGTATATGTCTGATATCATGTATTTCTTTTCTCGTGCAGAGCGGAATGAATGGATACAGAGCGTTCACTACAATCAGCAAGTTGCGGAACTATTGTGGCGAAGTCACGTGAGGTCAGAAAGACCCGGTCACGTGGGTGGGGTTCATGGAGCGCGAACGCGGAGGTGCGAACGATTGCCCTTTTCTCCACATTGAAGCGATCACTACAGTCGAAAATGTTGGCAACCAAGGTATTGAGAAGAAATCTGTGGCTGCTGTCCGCAGTTAGTAAGATTCAGTGTCATGGACGCTCGGCGACAAGGACTTTGTTGCGTCCACCGGCACTGCTGACCACCCGCTTCTCGTCAACTCTGCAAATTCTACAGAAAGTCATTACCACCCACAGCGGAAGCTTCCATGCCGACGAGTCGCTTGCAGTCTACATGCTGCAGCAGCTACCCGAGTACAAAGATGCCGACGTCGTGCGGTCACGCGACCCAGCCGTCATTGCCAAAGCGGACATTGTCGTCGACGTCGGCGGCGAGTACGTCCCGGAGAAACTCCGATTTGACCACCACCAGCGCGGATTCAAGGAAACTTTTGGACCCAATTACGATATCCTGCTCTCATCGGCGGGACTCGTGTACAAGCATTTTGGACGGAGGGTTGTGGCGCAGATCCTCGGCTGGCAGGAATCGGATCCCAAATTGGACGTGGTGTACCAAAAGATCTACGATGACTTCGTCCTCGCGTTCGACGGCATCGACAACGGAGTGTCGCAATACGATGCGGCTCAGAAACCCAAATACCGTGACCCCACGAACGCCAGCTCGCGCGTCGGCAAGCTCAACCCGTGGTGGAACGAGGAGAACGTGGATTACCAGGAGCGCTTCATGAAGGCCGTCGCGATGGTCGGCGCAGAGTTCCATGACCGCGTTCGGTACACTGCGCTCGCGTGGCTGCCTGGACGGGAGCTGGTCGTGCGTGCTCTGGAAGCGCGGACTCAGTATGACCCGAACGGTCACATCATGGTGCTGGACCGGTTCTGCCCGTGGAAGGAGCACCTCCACATTCTGGAAGAGGAGCAGAAGATAGATGACGCGAAGAAACCGCTATACGTGCTTTACGAAGATGACACTGCCAAGCAGTGGCGCATCCAGGCCGTTTCGGTCACACCAGAATCGTTCCAGAGCCGGAAACCCCTCCCGGAGCCATGGAGAGGGATTCGCGACCAGGCACTCAGCGACATGACCGGCATACCCGGAGGCGTGTTTGTCCACGCCAGCGGATTCATTGGAGGAAACCAGACGAAGGTGCGCAACTTGTTGGATTCTTGTATCCTTATATCATTTGATTAAATTCCCATTCACCATTTAGGAGGGCGCAATGAAGATGGCACAAAAGGCTTTGACCATGTAAAGGGTCCCGGGTATCCAACATCATTTCCCCTTTTGGAGAGAGGGATCTGATTCCCGATTTTTGCTGCTGCACGCATATATGTACCTATAACATCACAGCAAAATCATTGTACTTTATCATATTTGGGAAAGAGAATGCCTGCATCAATGATCCTCTTGACCTTCGGCTGACTCGAGACTGCAGTTCTTGCTCACTGCGTATCTTGGAGAGCGCATGACAAATGATGCCCTGGTTGTGCTGGATTGACATCCCTGTGGGGCATTCTTGACAAGAACGGGCTTGCGAGAAACAGATTGTACTGCAAGAAGAAGTCGTCACCGATGAGCAAATGTACTATACGCGAGAGACATTTGAGCACAAACAAGATATATTTTCGAGATATAGATCCTCATCCAATGGCTATATACATGCAAGGCAC